CTAAGCCTGGTCTGGGCTTCAGGGCTGACCCAGATGTCCTTTCAACCAGCCTTCCATCCCTGGAGCCTTGCTCTACTTTCCTACCAACTTAGGCCAAGAGGGAGTAAGAGTCACCCTCCTTGGTTGGAGCCCTGAGCTAGTAAGCTCTACTCCTGTTTGGTGATGGAAGGTAAGCTGCTTGCCTGCTTGCCAGAGCCCTGGTTCTCACAGCCCCAATCCCCTCAGCCATGCCTTCACACACCTAGTTTGTACAGCTCTGGGTTGTGTGCCTCCAGAGCTCTTAATTACTGTAAGCCGTCTGTGTTGGATCTTCTACTTCAGCCCTTCTATCACTTTTCTGAGCACGCTCTGCTGGAGGACAGTACACTGGCATTGCTGAGAGGAAGCTTCCTGGCCATTTTCTCAGGGAAGGTGGTTGCTGCTGTCATCAGTGTGGTTTTCTGAGATGTCTCCTTTCTGGTTGTTGGTTCAGCCCCTCATCCTGTCACCAAGGCACAGCAGGTCCCCAGGTCCTCTAGCTGGCAAGTGTGCTGGCCACAGCACCTGTTTAGGACTCGACTTTTCCTGCAGTGGAGAAGCATCTTTTTAGTCACAGAGGCCCTGTGTTGACTGTCAGTTGTTCTTGTTTCTGTTCTTTTTTGTCATCCTAACTGATGAGAGGATCAGAATCTTTCCCTTTAATCAAAGCCCATTCAAGCCAGGCCCAGCAAAGTAGACAGTGTTCAGCCTGCCCTCAGCTCAGTACCAGGATTGAAAGATTCCTTTGTTGGGTATCTATATGTGGGCTGTTGTGTCTGCTCTTTGTGCAAGTAAACCTTTGTTGCCTGGTCTCATGTCAAAACTGTTAACCTGTAGTAGGAACTCCAGGGTGCAGTGTGTTTGCATAATTTGCCTTCATTTCAGTCCAGAAGACTAGATGTTTTCTGCAAGATTTCAGCTCACAGGCTCACTCTTGAAAGCACCAAGGAGAGCACCCCACAGGCTGTGGCTACTGTCCCTCCTGATGACTTTACAGTAGTACACCATGCCCTGCCATAAAGGACACGTTGGCTTGAGAGATGATAGTAATTATATCTGCCCACGTTCATTATGCCAGAACCCTGATTGCTAGTGAAATGGAAACTCTGGTTTTGGAATTATTACTGACCAGATTCCTTTATCAGTAAGAGACCATGTGCTCACGGGTGCTTATAAAACAGGAGAAATGAGTCATTTCAGCACACACACTTGCAGTTCTGATATATATAAATTGGAAGCCATGCCTAGAGTTTAGCTGTCTATCTTATACTGTGTTCAAAATAGGAGGTAGCCCTAGATGAGACTCATTATGCACATTAGAAGCTGGCTGGAGAGCTGGTGGTTGGTCCACTTATCATTCATTACCTCTTTCCTGAGTAGCATACAGTCAGTGAAAAATGGCCACTTCCCTATGAACAAGGACACTGTCCAGGTAGCTCCAGGGTAGACATTCCATCTGAAGGAGTCAGTAGTTCCACCTGACACTGTTTAGGCCACCCAGCAGAACACTGGCCACAGGCACTCACAGAGGTCCTCATGGTCTCCTGTTGTGGTCTCACCATCCAGTGAGTGTAGTGTTTGTCCTTTAGGAAACTGCTAGGAGTTCAAGGTCTCAGAAAGGAGGCCAAGTGCCTAGAAGCCTGGTGACATGGACAGTTGAAGAGGCTCCAGCCTTGTGTGCTTGGCTCTTGGAGGAGAGGAGCAGCTTGCCCTCCAGTGGCTTGGTTCAAAGGCAGCCCTGGTGTGGAGGGCCCCTTGTGTATCCTCTCTGGGGACTATGCACCGCAAGCCTTCTTCCGCAAGGTTGACTTGTGTCCTTGTGCAGTTATTGCTGTCCGTGTTATTGTCATTCTGCAAGGACTGGTGCTCTCCAGAAGGAGATGACCTCACCTGGGGCCTGACATGCACCCCTGGTAGAACCTGCCCCTCACCAAGTCAGGCCTGAGGGCTGCAGCTTGCTGGACCCTGCTCCTGCTTTGTGTAGAGCAGAAAGGGTTGATTTTTCCCTCTTTTGCTGGGGTATTTTAATGATAGATAGTCCAGAAATGTGTGTTGAATTTTTCAGAGTTGTTTCTGGCCAGTTTGTCTTAGAAAGGTGCTGCCTGCCTCCGGGGTGCATGTTAGAACTGTTTGTTTTTCAGGTCCTAAGATTCCTACCTTTGCTGTTGGTGGGCTGCTGGTACTATAGTACAGGAGGCTGTGGCTTCTGGATGTAGGTCCCTGTGCTGGCTTCTTTTCTCTGCTCTCCCTGAGTCTTCAGTGGAGAGCTTCAGCATCAGCTGCTCTTTTAACACAGAGGGTCTCCAAGAGGACCATCTCTGCCCTTGGGGAAGTTGAGTCTAACCATGAAGACCTGGTGGTCACTTACAGGCACTGAGCGATTTCATGTGAGGAGGGGATGATGGAGTGACTGGGAACAACAGAAGAGCTGCGCACTAGTGAAGATAGAAGTAGGACCAGCTGAAGCCTGATAACAGTGGATCACTATGGCTGGGGGAGGTGTGGTGGAGCCAGAGCGTACCTGCCTGGTACACCCTCTCTAGCAGCAGCAAGTCCTCCTGATTCCAGCATAGGCTGCCCTGCAGGCTGCCCTCATTGCCTGTTGGTTTTCAGTTTCTGGGGCGCTGCCACCACCCTTGGGCATGTGGGTCCCACCTGCATATTCATGAAAGCTCATTCCTCATGCTCCTATGTAGAAAGAATCTTGTTCAGTAAATTCAGTCATTTTCTGAACTGCTGGTTTGCAAGTGTTCATCAGATTTGAATTTCACATCAACTGCAGTGTCCTGCTTCAGTAGGCTGGGCCGTGGCCGAGGCTGCTGCTATCCCAGCAGGATGTGCCTGTGGGAGCTGCAAAGGTTGCTGAGATGAAGAGCCACTTGGGCCCTTGGATCTTTATGTCAGTTCAGTTTTTGTAACTACAGCTAATTTCAGGCTGGAAACAAATTTGTTTGTGTCTTCTTAAAAAAAAAATTACCTATATAGAATTAGGAAGTTGATTAGTCCTGGTTGCACAGGTCTGTGCCACACTTCTTTAATAAACAGAATCCAAACAAACTCCCATCTATGGAAGCTGGGCATCTGCAGTGAGTGGAACCAACTGGAAGAGCAGCCATGCAGGCGGCCCCACTGCCCAGCCACATGACAGCGTTAGGCCTTTTTCTGCTGGGCCTGGAATCCTGCTTCTTAAGTCTTTTCCTGCAAAAGCAGCATGTGGCAGATATGCAGAAACCTATAGGTCCTGCTCCTTAGGTCAGGGAGTACTTTTCTGGGGTCTCAGGGTTATCACTCCTCTTCCGAGAACCCTTTCCTCAAAGTCTTAGGACCATTTTCCTAATACCTTGCCGCAGCCTCTGTGAAGACTGGAGGGAACATGGTTGCTTTCATCAGCTCTATTCTGTAGCTATGTACCACTTCTCCTATTATATACCAAGGGCCCAGCTTCTAGCACCTGGACCTTGAGGGGACAAAGTGCCACCAAACTGTGGCTCAATCCTATGATCATCCTGCCCAGAGTTTTCTGGTCAGCTGAGGACAGCAGTGAGCAGAGAGTGCAGGAACTGCCCGCCTTCTGAGACTTTGTTTTTTTCTAGGACCAGCCTATCATAACCTCCTGTGGGCCTGACTGCCTCTCAGCCACTGCAGCCCAGTTAAGTGTGTCTATTCTTACATTGAAGTGGGTTATCTATAAGATGCAGGACAGGCACAGGGCAGGGTTTCTTCCTTCAGTGGTTGGGAATGCCTTATTTCTGAGGCATAGCTAGTTGCTCAACTTAACATAAGCTAGAATTATCTCAAAGGAGGGAACCACAATTGAGAAAATGCCTCCATAAGATCTGGCTGTAGAGTAATTTTCATAATTAGTGATTGTTGGGGGGCAGCCCATTGTGGGTCATCCTGGGCTGGTGGTCCTGGGTTCTTCAAGAAAGCAGGCAGAGGAAGTCATAACGAGCAAGCCAGTAAGTGCCACTTGTCTGTGGGTCCCTGCACCAGCTCCTGCCTCCAGGTTGCAGTTCCAGCTCTCGCCACATTTGATAATGAGCTATTATGTGGAACTGTGGGTGAAATAAACCCATCCCTCTCCAAGTTTCTTTTGGTCATGGTGTTTCATCTCAGCAATAGTAACTCTAAGAAGACAGGGTTTATGCTTTGGGGACAGGTTTGGTAGAACATGGGTCTCTGTGAAGCCCAGTTAGTACTTAGTCCATTTAGAGGTGGCCTGGTCTGGACAGGGACAGATCTGCTGGGTCTGGGTATAGGTGGGATGGTACCTGGGTGAGGTTGGGCTCTCTAGGAGTTTGATGGTTCATTTCCTCAGCCCGTCACCCTCCTGGCACTTACTTCTATAGCCATGTGCTTCTTAATCTGTACTCCCTTATATGGACTCTCTTCTCTTCCTGAGTATTGAGGTGTGGAGAATCCCAAATGTGCACATTCGCCTGGCACAGCTGTTCCTCTTCGAATCATCACTGTCATTACCACCATAGTTTATTCTTTTCAAAAAAATTCTTTTTTGTTTGTATGTTTTGAGACAAGGTTCCTCTGTATAGCCTTGGCTACCCTGAACTTGATTTGTAGACCAGGCTGGCTTTGAACTCACGGCGGTCTTCCTGCCTTTGCCTTCCTGAATGCTGGGGTTAAAGGTGTTAAAGCCACCAAGCCTGGCTAAAATCACTCATTTTTATGTGCACAGGTACTTTCCTGCATGTGTGTCTATGCACCATTTATTGTGTCTGATGCACCTGTAGGTCAGAAGAAGGTATTGAGTCCCCTGAAACTGGTGTTACAAATGCTTGTGAATTGGGTATTGGACATTGAACCCAGGTCCTCTGCAAGAGCAATAAGTGCTCTTAACCACTGAGCCATCTCTCCAGCCCTTTATTTGTTTTCTTCTTGAAGGCTGGACTGTGGAGTCCTTTCGTACTGGCATTAGTCCTTTGTCCCCCAAGGCTCCCCTGACAGCCTGTGCTTGTGTCATGCAGAGCAAGTCCACCGCCACCTGGACGGGCACGAGGTGCGGTACCTGCAGTTTGCCTTCCGCTGGATGAACAACCTGCTGATGAGGGAGCTGCCCCTGCGCTGCACCATCCGCCTATGGGACACCTACCAGGTGAGCCCCCGCCCTGTGGCCACAGACCCGTCCTGCCTCCTCCTATGCTGGACTCCCTACAGAGTATCCTTTCTGTTGAAACAGAATCTTAAAAAAAAAAAAAATCTAGCCCTGGTGTTCCTGTCATTCGATTATCTGTAGAACAAGAAAAAGGACTTTCTAAGACTTTCCTGTCACCTGATGGCACTCCAGCTGGTTGCTGACAATCTCCCCCATTCTCACTGGCAATTTACATTTTAAGCAGAGTTAAACTCTAAGTGCGGCCGAGTAATCATGTACCTTCGCTGTACATCCTAGCAACTCTTCCAGAAACTTCACACTCGGGACTCCCATGTTGTCTGTGTTTTGAGTTACTTAGAATAAAGATTTAAAGAAATCCTCAGACGGATGCAGCACAATATGAAATTTTCCACTCTTCACCAATTTTGATGAAATTCATGTCTTCAGGAGATTGAGTTTTCCGGAAGCAGCCGCCTTGGTTCCCTTGAGTGTCCATTGCTTATTCTAGCCTCCTGTAATTTTGTGTGTGAGGCCTACTGAAGCTGGCCTATGTGTGGGTTGTTGCTACTGGCTCTCAGCAGCAACAGCAGTGGCAGCAGCAGCAATACCAGACCCTGTGGCCTGGGGTGAGGCATGAGAGTTAGGAAAGAAGCACCAGGTGAGTTTTCTTCCTTACAGTTAAAAACAAACAAACACCCAAGTCCTCCCTGTTGTGAGAGCCTTTCTTGGGCTGTGTGTCAGAGCTTGGCAAAGGGAGCACTGCACTGTTGCTGGCGGCGGGTCTAAAAGGCAAGGCTCTGGGCAGCATGTTAGCATAGGTGGCATGTGTCCAGGCTTTGGACAGTGTTCAGCATCAGAGCCCTGCACACGGGCTTACAGAGGTTGGTGCAAGCAGAGCATTTGCAGGGTAAAACTAAGCCTTTAGGGGATGGGTGGGGTCTTTTGTTTAGTAACTTGCAGGGCATTGTTCTGGGTGCTGCATCTTTCCCACAAGCCAGGGTGCTGTTGGGCCTTTGTGTCTACCATCTCTGCCTGAGTTTTGAACCCCCTTGAATGGTAGCATCACCCTTTGCTTTAAGTGTTGGTGGTGCATTCTGTACCCCACACTGGATATGTGGGTTTTGTAGATACCTCTGTTTTGTTTTATACTGTCAACTTGAGTTACCTAGAGTATAGCCTCCAACTTGTGAGCAAGTACTTACATTAGGTTAGCCTCAAGTCTATGAGGGTTTATGTAGGTTAGGTTGAGGTGGAAAGACTCACCTCAGCTGACAGACTGAATGGAAAGGAGAAAGGGATCTGAGCCCCAGCAACATTGCTCGCTGTTTCCTGACTGCAGATAACATGTGACTAGCTGCCTCATGCTCCTGTCATGGAGACTTCCCCAGCATGATGGCCTATTCCCATGAACTGTGAGCCAAAGCAAATCCTCCCTCCCTCAGGCTGCTTCTGTCAGGTGTTCTGTTGAAGCAATAGTACAAGTAGCTAATAAGCCTGCTATATCAAAATCGCCCTTCTGTCTGTTCTGCCTCCTGTGTCATGATGCCATCGGGAGGCCTTTGTGGAAATGTTCTGTGGGCTGTTTTGTTGGATGCTTCTCATGACAGAGCATGTTCCTGATTTGTAGGTTTTCTATTTAGGACTTGGCAGCTACAGAATTCTCATTCAGTAATATTAGCTGGGAATTAAAGCCTTACCTGGAGCTGTTTTGGCTAAAGTAGCTGTCAGTCAAGTGCATCGATTGGCTCTCTGCTGGATGACAAGAAACAAAACTTAATATCCTGTAAATTGCAAATGCTCTCATTTCTGTGATTACTTAGGCCGTTCGGGACCTAGGCCTGCTCATTAAGCTCAGAGTTCTTTGTAATTCTGTCTCATTACATAATAAAACAGGTATCAAGTCAGTCACACTTTGAGCAGGAGAAAGAGGGATCAGCTCTGTCATGTCCAGCGCTGTTTCCCTGAAGTGCTCAGTTGGCATTCAGACTTTGAGTATACTCATGACCTCTTCACTGAGTTAGTTCTCCTGCAATTTAATTTTGTTACAAATCAACTCATTTGTACCAGGAGCTCATTTTTACATGAATAGGACCCTGGTCATAAGCCTTTCCCCATCTTAAAATCAGAGATTTTCTGTTTTCCATGGCTGAGTAGCTGTGGGATTAAACTGTCTTTTCTGGCTCTGGAAGCACATAGCCATCTTCACTTAACTATTAGGCAGTCACTCTGTGCAGCTGGATGTTTATTGGCTGGGCCGTAAACTTACAGTGTGGCTTAAGATCCTTTTGGAACACATGCCACGGAAGGGCTATAGATAAGCACCTTGCCCTAGGCCCTAGGCTACATCCAGAAAATGGATGAAATGAATTATTTTAGGGCGGGACAAGCATGGGCCCATGCAGATATATGTCCTCTCAGAGTTTCCTGCTGTCTATCTTAGCAGCTGGCACCAGATGTGAGAGTCATGGATTGGGCATGTAGTCCCCACTCCTAAAAGATTTCAGCCTGTGAGAGCCACTTTTGAGGTGCTCTGTAGAGCATAGATCCAGCCTTGCTAGAGCATTCACCCCAGACTAAGCCCCACATATGAGAGCAACTCTGCAATGTGTTCCGGGGCTGCAGCTGTGGAGCTCAGTTAATTTAGTCCCAGGTCATTGTCCTTACCAGACCAGGCAGCCATCTTGTTTTACTCTTCCCCACGTTGTAGGCTGTTCTTCCACATGAGTGACAGATAGCTCATGCCGGCACAAAAGGAGGTGTGCTTGGATGGTTGATGAAGGATGTCCTGTTCCACTGCTGTGAATGCCTTCTCCAACCCTTGATCCTTTCTCACATTTTAAGTAGAATATTTCTGTTTTATTTATTGTCCTTTCATTTCCCCCATCCCAGAGAGAGTGGGTTGGAAGGTAGCTTGAGTCAGGGCTTCCTTGCACTTAGCATTTGCCCTGGAACTGCTCAGGAAGGTCTTGGAGATCCCTGAGCCACACAGTTCACACATATTGTTGAATACTTCCCTGAGTCCCTGGGCCGTGGGAATATTGTCAACAGGGCCCTGTTCTCAAAGGACCCATGTGACTGTGAGAGATCCTGGCCACAAGCCAGATATCATTGTCACTGCTGTTGTCTCAGGTGTTAGAGGCAATGCGATAGAAGCCCTCCAGAGCTGGGCAGTTCTCTGGGCAGTTCTTGGGAGATGGTAGGAGTAGGAACAAGTAGCTTTGAGTTATCATCTGTATGCTTAGCTCTCTTCAGCATATCTGTGAAGAACATTTTATGTTGAGTTGCCTGGTGAGCATGGAGCTGATGAAGCACTCTAGGGAGAGGATGAGGCTAGTTCCTAGACAGAATTGCTAGGAAGACTTGAGGGATAGGCTCACTCACACTTGTACACTAGTCATGTGGTGGTGCTGTGAAACAGTCAGCTTTGTAGAGCAGGTGCTGCTCAGAGCCACACTCAGGAATCGTAGCTGAGTCTAGGTGTGCAGGAAGCATCTGGAATGCTCCCTCCCTTGGTGTGGACCAGGCTTGAGGACTTCTTGCAGCAGAACATACTTCCCAGTTGAGGCTTCCTCACACTGGCTTATGATAAGCTGTTCCTTAAAGCCTCCCACAGGGTGAAGAATTGTGTTCCTAGCCACCTGGAATCCTAGGCCATCATCAGCCACGCAAGTGGGCTAGAACACAGAGCCTTCCCCATCCATTCTTGAGAGACCCCAGCCCTTGCTGACATCTCCATTATAGCTATGAAAGGCCCCAAGAGCTGCAAAGCAGATTTCTGTCCCTGAGAACTATGGCATCACTGTTGCTTATCCTAGACAACTTGTGTCTGCAATAAGCAGTATCTTTGAGCAGTGGGTGGTTGCATGCTAGAATTTTGTCACAGGTATTTCAGTGGCAGTAAGACTGGGCAGTGTAGACTGGAGCACAGGATAAAGAATTATCAGGTCTTATGCATGTGAGCAGCCTGTGTGTCAGCCTTTAGTGGGGTGCCCTGAGGACACCTGTGCTTAGCTGCAGCCATTCTGGGGCACATTTAAGGTGACGTAAGGAGGGCCAGGATGTGAAGGCATAGGAGGGCGGAGGCCTAAGTTAAGGCGCTGCCCCAGACATCGTTTTGCAGTGAACATGGAGTAGGCTTCGCCAAGGCTTTTGAAGTAAAGCAATTTTGGCAGAGATTGGGGTAGAAGACTCCCAGAAGTCACTTTATAGTAGGTCCATCCTGTCAGTATCAGACCATGCAGTTGGAGTAGTTTCCAAGGTTTTTCTGAGCATCGATGGGGCCTGTCTACATCTATCCATCCTCCAGTCTTTCCACTGTCAGCTATAACATGACACCTGCTCTGTGGGGTGCCCATATGAGGACATGGAGAAAGCATCCTGGTATCTGAGGGAACCTCGCCTCCCCCAGAAGCTCACAGCTGGTCTGAGAAGGGTACACATGAACAGAATCACAGCAGTGCTGATGTTGATGACCAAGGTGGGCACTGATGGCTGGGGCAGGTACCTCACCTGACTTAAGGAGTTTAGAGTAGGATACCAAGGGGAAGGACCTCATGCTCATTTTTGCCACACAGAGTAGGTCCAGTGAGGTGACTGGTGGGTTATAGTGGGCCAGTTGTGCATTGCATGGAGTCCAGAGGCAGATAGCTTGTCCTGAGGCATGACAAGGTATGGCTGTAATAGGGCATCTGGGGTCCAGGATTGAGGACAGGCTTCTAGCACCTGCTGCATTTTTTACTGTGCCCAGCTGCCAGCCATCATCACACTTGGACCTCCTAGGTACCACAGCACTGTTTCTGTGACTCCAGTGGCATTGGAACTGATGGATTGGGTTAATCTAATAAGCCTGAAGAAGCAGGCCTTCTTACAACACACTTTTTCATAAGCCCATTAGGATTTGAGAGTGTAAGCTCTTCGTGCCTACCCACCTACAGGAAGTAAGCATACATCACTGTCAGTCCAGTAAAGATTTAGAAACAGAATACTCAGCAAGTCTTGGC